AACACATGAATAACACGAAAAATATTCAGAATAACAATGGTGAAATATTCCTAAACCCTCGATAATACACCAATAACACATGAATAATGCATAAAATATTCAGAATAACATGGGGGAATATTCTTATGCGATGAAATATTCATATAATGCATCGGTCGGGCTGAGTCACGTGTTTTCATTAATTTTTTTATTTTTTATGTAAGTAGGCTCGGAATTCCACGTGTCTGCGCGAGATTGGACTCCATAAGCAGCTCTGCATGCGGAGTCCTGATGTAATAATTTTTCCAAATCAAATGTTTCGACAAGGTAATCCAACAAGACTAAGAACGCTCAGCTTCAACATATCAAGGCACTCAAATGTCCATTAAACGTCATTTGATAAAGAGGATCTCTCTGGGTCATACAATCAAGAGTGGCTTGGATTCATTTCTTATATCCAACTTGGCTTTTATAAATAGAGCCCTACCTTCCTCATGAGAAGAGACCTAAACCGTAGGCAAGAGAATGACCAGAGTCTACGGAAGAGGGAGCAGCAACCAAACATCGTGCACCGCTGACCCAATCAACTTTGGTCGCCACTGCCGCTTCTAGTCGCCGCCAACTCCAACTTTTGTCGCCGCTTCCGATCGATCGTCACCAACTCCAGTTGTCTCCGCCTCCGACTGCCACCATCGTTTCCAACAACTGTCGTTTGCGACAAACTCCGATAACCTTCGCCTCTCGCCTCCTCCGATCATATTACTGCCTCAGACCACTGCTATCTTAGGCCACCCTCAAGTCAACTCTGATTTACACCGACTTCAGCCAACTCAAGCCACCCCGTTCTGCCAACTTTGACCACCACTGTCTCTAGCCAACCTTAGCCACTGCCACCTTCAACCAACTAGCCATCGCCACCTTTAGCCAACTTTGGCCTCCAACCACTTCTTATCGTGGGGCAACAAGTTTTTCTGTACACAAACATTGTAATCAGATGAACTATGTAATTGTTTCTCGTCTGTGGGGCAAGAGGTTGTACATTTTATCTCATAGTGAAATATTTTAGCAGGGCAAAATCCCGTGATTTTTTTTCTTTTTCGAGTTTTCAATGTAAAAACTCATGATATTTTTGTTGGTTATATTTTTTCATCTTAGCGTGTGTTGGACTCTCATACAACACCAAGACGATTATTTATTATTCTATCGCTTTAAATTTCTTTGCACACATCATTCCTGATGATGACTGATCAAAGAAAGCATTTTCAAGAGAAACGATAATTAAGACAAGATCTTATCAGAAAAAAATTTATAATGCCCAAGTTGGAGAAAAAAATATTATTTTGGGATCCATGTATAAATATAATAATTTTATCTATATATTGAAATGTATGAACAAATGATTAAAAAAAAAATCACATGAATATACAAAAAAAAAAAACAATCACTCATCATCACCGCCACCATCTTTATAAACATCATCAACAATATCATCGTTTATCTCTTATTTCTCATCGAGTTTTTGAAACAGCTCAAATTATGTTGAAGATTTTTTTTTTAATTCTTTCTTGTATTCGGCATAACACATTCCTTAATAGCTATGACAGGTTCTTCATTTTATATATTTTAACATTTAAAAAAACTCAAATTTTATATGCTATTAACACCACGCGACACGAGTAGTGAGAAATTTAGAGGAAGTCAATCTCAAGAGCTTTTGTAAGTCTTCATTGGCCATATATAGGATGAGGCCATCCCAAACAACATTCAACCAATGTATAGCCCATATTTCAAATTTGATTAAGAATAATATCAAATCAAATAAATCAATAGCTCCAATGATCAATTACAATAGTACCCCACTTACTCCAAAATAAATGCAAGTTGTAAGATGTGATCTTAAACAACAAGAACAGGACCATTTTCAAGAGGGGTATTTTTATAAAACAAATTAATGAAAGGATATTTGTAAAAAAAATATGAAAATGAGATAGTTTCTCAAGTATTGGGCAACTACAACCCCTAAACGTTATTTGTAAATAGGTCTCATTATTTGTACACAGCACATGTTCTACTTGCTAAAAAAACTCCCGTTCAATTCGTTCGGTAAGAACTAAAAGCAAATTGAGTTTGAACAGTTATTTTAAGTATATTTTATTAAGGAGTCAAACACAAATAAAATTTTGTTCAATCATATTTGGCACATTATACACTCTACACGTTTAGCTTAAATTCAAACAAGCCTAAAATAATGTATACAAGAAGTTTTTTTGGGCCCGCAAATTGATAGGATAAATAATAAATAATGTTATGTCACCCTAAATCAAGATGATACAATCCAAAATATATAAAAGAAAAACACATACAATTCAAAAGGTAGGCTCTAACTCAAAGATTAAAGACAATAATCATACATATCATCACCCTAAACATACTAAACCTTATTTATACCTTACAATAATAACTAACAAATGATTAAATTGCCCTTTTAGTCTGGCACCTAACATAAGTCTTTAAATTTGTGAGCATGGCTTCGGCTTAGTGGAGCACGAGGCGGGCAACATCATAGGCACCAGTCTATCACAAACCTTTCCTTGTGTGTTTAGCATGACAGAAACAATTGGAGAAGAACATGAGGAAAGTGAGATTAACGTATGAGAGATTTACATAACTAGCACATAATTCTTATGTATCTACATATCTCTGTGATCAAAAAGATTTTAGCGTTGTGTGTAAATATTAAAGTTTAGATGTGAGAAACATAAATACATAAGAATTGTGTGCCATGTATTTAAATGCCCCATTTATTTGTAATTTCCTGCAATACTACATGCTCAATTGTCAATCGCCACTTGAGAAAGAAGGCTCTCACCTCTCTTGGTCCCAGAAGGAAATAAAGAGAACGTAGAACAGATTCTTAAGTCTAAGCCTATTCTCCTGTTTATAGATGCCAAGGCAACGTTTCGGGACTTCCATCATTGGAAAAATAAAAGGAATACTTATATACATACCACTCAATTCCTATGTATTTACATATCTAACACCTAAACTTCATTTTTTACATATATGCCACCTTGCCTGTGCATGAAAAAGTGTATTTCACTGTTTTAAAAGTCAATTAGTGGTATTTTTTTATAAATATAAAAAGTAAATCTTTACAGCAACCTAGCAGAATATAGGGTCAGTTAATTGATTTAAAGATTATCCACTGGCATAAACTTGTCAGAGTGATAGTTAACCAACAATATAAATGATTATAGAACGTAAATGCAATGATATTTATAAGTTTATTTACCAAAAATGAAATTTAATTGTACAAAAATTCATTTAATAAGAGCGATAAGAGAAGCATTTTATAAAATTAATACCTGGATAACTTCGGTCACTCTTTCAAAAACATTTGACGCAAAAATAAAAACCTGAAAAAATCAAGAAATCATAAGGTGAGTTTAACAGAAATAAAATCAGTCCGGGGAACATAGAAAATAATAGAGGGGTGCAATTTAATTTTATAAAAATGACATGATTAATGACTGTATGCACCAAAAATACTAGCACGAATTTCAAAAAAAATGAATGACCAAGATGAAAGAGTTTCCTCTCGGGGTAAGCAATCAACTCACGATTCAAGGCCAAGCATAAAGCGGCGTCTCCAAACCCAGGATAGATTTTGTCACTAGAGCTACTACTACTAAAATTACAATCCATGTCATCAGTTTTAGTTCTACTCAAATGAAGGTCTTTAGACTCCAATGTAGACCTTCATAATTCAAGTTTTTCCTGGGCTTTTTCTCTCGCTTTTTCACAAGAAGGATATCATCAGCAAAAAGCATACACCAAGCTACATCCTCCTGTAAATGTCCAGTAAAACCATCCATATCTAAAGCAAAAAGATATGGGCTCAAAACCGATCCCTGATGTAATCCAACAGAAATAGGAAAATATTTTGTCAATCCTCCTTCAATTCGCACACAAGTAACCGCTCTAACATACATATCTTTAGTGACTTGAATGTAAATCAAATCAACACCTTTCTTCTCAAGAACGCTTCAAAGGACATCTCTTGGAACCTTATCGAAATCTTTTTCTAAATCAATAAAAATCAAATGTAGATCCTCCTTATTATCTCTAAATTTCTCCATCAAACCTCTCAATAAATGTATAGCTTCCATGGTAAACCTGCCCGGCATAAAACCAATTTGATTATGAGAAATCTTTGTAATACGTCTTAATATGTTCAATTACCCTCTCCCATACATTTAAAGTACGACACATCTTAACTCCTCTATAATTGGCACACTCTTGTGCATCCCCTTTATTCTTAAAAATGGGGAAAAAATACTCTTTCTCCACTCCTCAGACATCTTTTTAGTTTTTAAAATAATATTAAAGAGTTTAGCAAGTCAAGAAACTCCCAAATCTCCCAAATATTTCCACATTTCAATTGGGATATCATCAGGTCCTACAAACTTTTCACCCTTCATTTTCTTTAAAGTCTTCTCAACTTCTTTTTTACTAATGCGATAGTAAAAATGAAACGTTTTATTATTATTAACGATATTAAGATCACTAAGTTCGATCGTATTATCAGAAACTTAATTAAAAATTTTATCAAAATAGCTCACTCACTTGTATTGAATATCTTTTTCTATGAAAAAACTTTCTGATTTTCATCTTTAATACAATTTACTTGGGTTAAATCTTTACTTTTCTTTTTTCTTTGTTTAGGTAGTTTATACATACATTTTTCACCCTCCTTAGTACCTAAGCTATCATAAAGATCACCAAAAGCAGAATTTTTAGCGTCAGAGAAAGTTCTTTTAGACTCCTTACGATGTGGGATGTTCATGAAGATGCATCTTCATGTGGGATAGTTCTTTTAGACCCTTGCCACAAGCAACATTTTAAACATCCCACATGTCTTTAATGACTTGAATGTAAGTCAAATCAACACCTTTCTTCTCAAGAATTTTTAGCGTCAAATCAACATTTTGAATGTAAGTCAAATCAACACCTTTCTTCTCAAGAATTTTTAGCGTCAAATCAACATTTTGAATGTAAGTCAAATCAACACCTTTCTTCAGTTTGAACATCCCACACAGCATTTGCATCTTCATGAACATCCCAAATTTTAAAATCTTGAATTTTACTCATAAAAATAATTTTATTTTTGTCTTTTAGGTTCCTCCATCTAATTCTACGATGATGAGTCCTAGCATTTTTTATTTTACAATTTTTCATCTTAAAATCTAGAACTAATAAACGATGTTGGGTACTTAAATTTTCACTTGGAATGATCTTACCTCTTTTCTTGAATAAAGTATTAGTAATAACAAAATCAAATGCAAAAGCAAAATCTAAAATGGTTCTATCTTCTTCATTCGTCACTCCAAAACCGTAGCCACCATGAATATTTTTTAAATCTTCTACCACTCCACCGACATGTCCATTTAAATCTCCTCCAATAAAAATTCTTTCTTCAAGAGGTATCATTTATATTAAGTCTTCTAAGTCATTCAAGAATTTAACTTTAGTCCCTAAATCTAGACCTACTTGAGAAGCATAAGCACTTATAAAATTAAAAATCTTAGTATCAATAATAACCTTAAGGGCTAAAATTCTATCATCAAGTCTATTTATTTTTACAACATTATCTTTCAAACTCTTATCTATAATTACACCTAAACCATTTCTAGTGCAACTCTTACCACAATACCAATGTTTAAAGCCTGAATTATCAATTTTCATAGCATTTTTCTCCCACCCATTTAGTTTCTTGAATAGATAAGATATTGATCATTCTATGAATCATAATATCAACTAATTTCATTAATTTTCCATTGAGAGTACGGATATTCCATAATATTATCCTAATTTTAGTTTCATTAATTTCATGGACTAACTTATTTACCCTCATCTGTCTGTAATGTGGGAAACTTTGCTTGTTTGACACTACATCCAGGCGTCGGTGTAGAGATCCTTACACATTTTTTACTGTATTGAGGTCATACAGCGCGTCGCTTCCAGAGGACGTCCTAGCACTTACACAATGGTTGAAAGGATTCATGTCATGATTATTTTTTTCAACAAATTTTACGCGGGTTGTCGACTATGCAACCCTCATTTTTTCACATTCGGGCTTGGGACCGACAATGACAGTGTTCAACATATGTAATGTGCATGCACAATAAATTAACTACAAAATAAAGACAGTTAATTGAGCAGCACGACATATAAATGCAAGTATATGAATATCACTACATAAAACTAAAACATAATCAATGATATAAAAGATTATCCTAAAAAAGCCTCTACAAATATCAAGAAAAATACCGCAAAGAAAAAAGTGTGTAAGAGTTGGTTAAAGTTGTTTTTATCACATTCTCTCATTTTACGGGTCCCATACTCGCTAAACTTGGGTGAAGTTGCAAATCGACTAGATCAATCCTAGCACACATTAAGCTAAATACACAAGAGTCGTCACCCCTTTAGTCTCAAAACATACATTGATTTGATCAATCGATTGATTTTTGTTCTATATTTCCCCTTCCCTCACAATCTTATTCTCCATTTGAACCTTCACATCTTGCAACAATCACAATCTCTATTTAATCATGTGCATAGTGTCATGATCATCAACACGATCATGGTTCTCCTTCGATGGTATGTCATATCACAATTGTATGTTTTATTTTATTGGTTTAATTGATCAAATTGATTCAATTAGTTGGAGAAAAAAAATCTCTAGTCGACTATATTAAATTTAGTGGTATTCAATTAAGTTTAAGGTTAATTTTTTAATGAGCTAATTAGGGTTATAGTCAGTTTAATTCGATTGATTGACAAATTTATTAAACAAATTAAACTAAATCAAATCATAGAAAAAAACAAACCAACAGAATCACAAGTAGAATCAAACCAAACAGAATCATAATGTAATTTGATTTATTTGATTTGTATCTAGTTTAACCAAAATTTGAGAAAACAAAATTGGTTTAGATAATGCAAAGACCAAAATCAAATTAAAATATAAAGATAAATTGAGAAGGTAAACCCAATTATTAACACTCACACACATGATAATGACATCTCTACTTTAGGTCTAACCAAATTTTTTTTAAAACCGAACCAAATTAACCTTAATTCAAAATGAGAAACCTAAGTAACTTTTAAGAAACCAAACCAATCCAATCAATATACATGGTACAATTCTTTTTTTTTTTTTTTGTATGAATCAATTAAAGCGCATCCTTGGTACAATTCTTTTTTTTTTTTGTATGAATCAATTAAAGCGCATCCTTAGGGCTAATTAATTTTTTTTAGATTTTGAAATTGAATTAATCATATTGAGTTAAATTAATTTGATTTTATTTGAATGGGAGAGAAATTGGAAAGTCTTATGCACCCAACTTTATTGAAAAGATGCTACTTCTGAAACCTCTTATAAACTGTCTCATCGTCATCTCCTATACATTTTTCTCTCCCCATGCTAATGGAACAACATTTAAAAGGCTTAAACAAAAATTTTGTTAACAATGATTCTTCACAAGACCGATTATTGCATCAGGACACCGGACGCAAATTTGCGTCCAGAGCCCAATGGGCACTTGCGGCAAGTGGGTCTCACTCTAATACACTGGTTAGGTGGGTTAGGTGGGTTTTTTATAGCGGTGAGTCCCACTTGCCATGCGACACACTCCCACTGGACTCCGAACGCAAGAGTCCAAATGTAACCTGACATATGTTTGGGGCAGGGTAAAGGTAGTTGTAAACAAGTTGCAATGAAAGAAATTTTTTTGAAAATTAATGTGGGTATAATAACTATTTTTTGAAAAAAATATAAGATAAATTTTAAAGAATTGACAGAGAAAGTTGTAGGCAAATAAATGTGTAGTAGCGGTCTAAAAATTAAAGTAATAAAAAGTTGCCCTAAACAAATCCAAATACAGCCTTTGTATGCTAGCCTATATGCCACCACATCAAACTTCCCTCATAACTTGCCGCCTTGGCCACCTTTAGCACTTGTACAACTAGAAGACAGACGATTCAAGAAACTTAGGAAGAACTTTGTCTCTCCCTATGTCGTGCCTTGCATTGCTACAAATTCAATCCAAGAGAGCCAATTCATCGACCCTTGCCACGAGCAGCAAATGTCACATACAACGCTTCGACTCTCACTAGTAATGGTATATGCCCATCGACTTTAGTCCTACAACTGCTAAACATCATAAATCTTGTAGATTGCACACCCACTGACCCATTCACTCATCTCATAGGTACTCACCATGTATGGGTCTCAATCATTTTGATTGATGTAAAATTATAAAGTAAAGCCTCAAATTATACTATAAATAAATTGATAATTAGATGTTTTTATAATTCTAAATACTTTTCTTTTAATTTTTTAAACTGCAAAAGATCATTGTCTTGCATGGAGTAGTGGGACTAGTTAACTTTCTTTAAAATTTCATTGTTATATATAAAGAGCCCCACTGACTCCTATATGTTGAAATAATACATGCTTGAAACAAAGGCTTTCTTTGAACTAGCCAGATTTCTATCCTGGCTATTCAACCTGGCCATATCAAGCTAGTTCAACTGAAGTCAAAATTTTTTGAGGGATTTACATGCATAGCACATATTTATTTATATATTTAACATATAAGTTTTGATATTCATTTTTATAACATTCAAATCATCACAACAAAATAAAAAATGCACCAAAAATAAATTTTTAAAGTGAAACATAATTTTCATGAATATATTTTGATGTGACTTAGATGTTGAAGTGTTCGTACACCCAACATATCCTAAAACAAGCTAAAGGTAGATTGATCCAACCAAGGTACCGGAGTGAAGTAATCAGACAGGCTTAAGATGGCACTGCCAACAAGATGAAGGTGAACTTGCCAACTGGGTTCAATAAGGACTTAACCATCAAAGCATATGTATAACTCACTAGCGCCATGATGAATAACTGAGCAAACTGAGCTCAGTCAATGTCTTAAGCTTAAAAGCTGCTCGGTTACTACTGCCAGAGAAAGTAAGCCACCTCACCTCCTTCCGATTCAGCGGTTGACTGCTAATCTGAGTTCTCATAATATAAGTCTAGTATTTTATAAGGGATAATTGATAGGTATCACTTTGTACTCTTTACTCTTGTACCTCATTATGTAGCTTTTCCTGTTATGCTCAAATCATGATCCAGCCTTAAAAATAAGAGGGTCCTAAGAAAGGTCAGGGGTTATGCAATCTAACCAAAAACTCTTTTACAACTTAAACTAATATAGTGAAGATTTTAAGAGCTTCTCCGTCCCTCCTCTCTTCTGTCTCTCTCTCCACCCTTTCCCTCCATGCTAGGTAAGGTTATGATATAATCTAACGGACAAATCAGGATTCAACAATGTTATATATATAAATATGAAAATTTAGGTTATAGATATGTAAATACATGAGAGGTGTGTGCTATGTATGCAAATCCCCTTGTTTTTCTTTTCATTTTTGTGACAGGTTGTAAATCGTTTGTTCCTCTTAATATGAGTTTTGCATTGGCCATCCTGAAAATGACGAGATACCTGCTGAGTGAGAAATTGAGAGCAAGTGAAAATAGTGAATCAGCCGCTATCTCCAGAATACTCACTTTCACTTATCTCTATCTTTTTCATAACTACAGATTGAGAGAAAGTGAAAATAAAGAGCGAACCAAAACATCTTATGCATCTGCTCTTCTTATAAAAGCTTTCAAAGACTCACCTGCTGATCTCAATCTTCTTCTATATAGCTTCCTTTCTTCTGAGCTACCTTTCACCGTACCTTCCAACCAGAGCAGCATCCAATCCTCAACCAATAATGATATTTACACTCTCTTTTACATGAATAGAATTCCAAATCTCAATCTCCTTGAACAATAAGATCGATCACCATGAAATGGTAGACACAAGCTATAAGCTCACGAGCCATTTCCCTTTATAAATGACACTCACGTTGAGCACCATAACCCACATCCTTTCTCGACATAACCCAGCTACTACCCGGTGGCCTCTTCACTCTTCTCTCCTCCATCTCCCTCCTTATCTTCTCGGCCTCCTCAAACCTCCCAACCGCAGCGTAAGTATTGGCCAACAACATAAAATTCCCAGAATTTTCCGGCTCTATCGCAAACAGCTCTTTTGCTGCAATCTCTGCGAGCTTAACATCTCCGTATTTCCTGCAAGCCCCCAGCAGTGCCCCCCATGCCCTCGCAGTTGCCTTTACGGGCATGTTCACTAGAATTTCATACCCCTCCCAAACTCTCCCAGCTCTGCTCATAACATCCACCAAACACGAGTAATGATCGCTCCCAGCTTCTAAGCCGTGAACCTTGGTGATGACCTCGAAGTACCTCAATGCATCATCGGCAAGACCAGCATGGCTGCAGGCCTTCAGAACGGCAAGGAACATGATCCCATCCGGATGCACGCCGTCGGCTTCCATTTCTCGAAAGACATGCATTGCATTGCCAGCGTCACCATGGAAAGCGTAAGCAGAAACCATGGAGCTCCAGACGACCACATCCCTGTCAGGCATTTGGTCGAATACTTCACGGGCATAGACCAGACAACCGCACCGGCCATAGGCTTCGACCAGCATGCTTCCGAGGTGGGCGTTTCTGTCGATGCAGCTTCGGAAACCGTAACAGTGGATCTCTTTGATTGAGCTCAGCGAGCCTATGGTGAGACAAACTGGAAGGAGAGCGAGAAGCGTCATGAGGTTAGGTCTCAAACCAGAGGCCCGCATTCTCTCGTAAAACTCCATTGCTCGACCGGAGCTGTCTTCGGACTCTGAAAGAGCTGCGATTATGGGATTGTAGGAAGACTCCGTGGAGGGAACGTCCATGACCTCCAACAGTTTCAGAGCATTGGCGATATCGTTCGCGTGTGAGTAGAGAGAGATCATGGCGTTCCAGACGACAGCGTTCCTTTGGGGAGATTCGTCGAATGCCTGGCGGGCGTCCGCCAAAGAGACGCACTTCCCATAGGCATCGACGAGGGAGGAGGAGATGAAGGGGTTGGAGAGGAGGCCGGACTTGAGAGAGTGAGTATGGAGGGAAGCGATGGAGCTGGGAAGGCGGAGGGCTGCGGAGGATTTAAGGGCTAGGGGGAAGGCGAATGGGTCGAGGACGAGGTCCGGCGCGGCGAACATTTGGGAGAAGAGGGTGAGGGCTTGGTGGTGGCGGCCATTGTTCACGTAGGAGGTGAGGAGTCTGGTGAGATTGACGAGCTTCTGATGGTTCGACTGGAGTGCGGCGGCCATTGCTGCAACAGAAATATTTTTTAAGGATTTCCTTATGGACCTAACCCCAGCAATAATATGGAATTCTCTGGCTTTCTCCTTATTCCGCCGCACCTCTGGGAGGAAATTTTGTCCGATTAATGGAATTAATCAGATTTTTACTTTAAAAAAAATTGATTTGCCATCAATAATTTTTATATTTATGCACGAATCTTAATAAATTTACAGTAGGAACTGTTTTAAATTTAAACTTAAAGAGCATAAGAGCCCTATTTTTAACAAATTTATTGTTAATTTTGCTGCATATCGGAAAATTCTTCGTACTAGAGCTATAATTTAACTTCGTATTGCATGAAAATCCATCACATATATAAAGAATAAAAAAGCAGTTGGAGGAGACATATTTTTGGGTGAAAAAATCTTAAGCATAAAAAAAAAATCAAAAGATAAAGCCCGATCAAAATAATACACTGGGTTTTAATGATTAAGTTCATTCTTATCATGAATTAGAGAAGCTGAAATTGTAATCATGATATTACAAATGTATAATAGTAGTTCGGTTATAATAGTCATGATTGGGCTATAGCATAAATAACCCTCACACTTCTAAAATTGTGTTTTTCTCATGTTGGGCACTTCACCGACACATGTTTTGTAGCCTCCCGGACTACAAACTATATGTTTGATTTTTTTGGGGTTTGAATATGTCCAAGACTCCTCAACACCGCATCAGACATAGGGTCCATTTGGGGCAGCTTATCCATTTCAGGATAAGCTACTTATCCTGAAACGGGTCATGGGGTTCGGTCCGTGGTCTGCGTTTATTGTAAAAACCCAAACGCGGTTTCGGATAAGCTGACGAAACGCGTGAACCAAAAGGTACGACGGCGTTTTGAAAACGCCGCCCGAACTTATAAACTGCCCCAAACGGGCCCATAATCTTCACACAATTTCGAGAAAAAACGATGCACGAGAAGTAGAAAGTTATAAATATACATATAGTCATAATTATACCTCATACTTGAAAGTGTTTACTCTCTCGTCATGTTGAAACTTCTTCTTACTTTTGTCAAAATTGAGAGTCGAATGTGCATCTAATATTCACTGAAACCAAACATTAGTAGTTCTCACTTTATAATCGTAGGATTTTTCTAAATTTTAATTGATAAATTGGATGAATTCTTTTCAAACATATCATACATCTAATTTAAAATTTTAATTTTAAAAGTATGAGGTTTTATAATATGAGCTAAATTTATGAAGTTAAATTTTAATGTTACATAAATTTTGTGATGTCTTTAATAAAGAATAATAAAAATAATATTTATTATATATTGATAATTAATTAAACATAAAAATGTGTCTATGACGCATTGTGTCGTTTCAATATCCCTGTGTGATGTTTGTGCTTCATAGGCTACAAAAAATGTGGTTGATCATGAAGGCTATAATCGCTGGTTACTATTGAGACATTTGGTTACATTATGATGTTGTTGGAAACTATAATAGTAGTAGTTAATCACAAATGTTATAGTTGGTTGTTGCATAGACAGTAGTTGGCCACAAGACCGAGGTTGGAAGCTGCAATTTCTTCAATTAGTCATAAAGATTAGATTTGATGATTGCAATAGTGTCAGTTGACCATATAGGTCATATTTAAAGTTATAACAGTAGCAGTTGGTGACTGCAATATCGTTAGTTGGTCATATATACCGTAGTTGATAACTGTAAAAGTGCTAGTTGGTTATAGAGGTCACAGTTAGATGTTGTAATATCAATAGTTGGTCACATAAATTATAGTTGGTTACTGCAATGTCGTCAATTGACCACATATGACGTAGTTGGTTGTTGCAATAGCATTAGTTGGTCACAAATATCATAGTTAAAATTTGTAGTAGTAGTTGGTCATATAGGTCGTAGTTGGGGCCTAAAATAGTGTTAGTTGACCACAGAGGTCATAGTTGAAAACTATAATAGTAATTTGTCACATAAGCTGTAGTCGACCCTTACCTCAAAATGGGGTTACAGTTTTGCAATTGACACTACATTTATAAATATACAACATAAAGAAAGATAAATATGTAATCATTATCTTGCTACAATAGTCATAGACAGTGGTTGTCAATGGGCGATTGTCGACGATGATAGTTGGTAACTATTGGTGGTGGTCGACGATGGTTAACAGTTATGAAGGCTAGAAGTTATCGTCGGGTCTTAATATGAATATTAAAAGTTACATCCATATCTGAGATATATTGTTTTAAAGCATGTGTCTTCAACGACAGGAGGTGAGAGGTGGCCGACGGGTAGTGGTCAACGGGCGATGGTCAGTAGTTACAAAGGCTTAAAGTTATCGATGGATCTTCAATAAAAAAATTTACATTATGACCGTATTTGCGATACAACGTTAACAAGTAGAGGTCACCTACGACGGCGAGTGGGGGTGGTTGGGGGTGTTCGACAATGACTTAAAGATGATGGTCGGCGACTACGAAGGTCTAAAGTTATTGTCGGTTCATCAATATAATGTTATATGTTACAACTATATTTAGGATATAATATTAGCCAACAAAGTCACAAATAGAGGGGAGTAGGGGCAACCGGTGGTGGTTAATGGCGACCGACGGGTGGTAGTCAACATCAGTCGAAGACTACAAAAACCAAAAGTTATCATCAGATCTTCGATCCAGAATAGGCGTTGGAATTTCTTCTCCATCTCCTCCCCTCTCAAGTGAAGAGATGGAGTATTTATAGGCTCTAAGAGGATGTTTTAATCATTTGGCAAATAACCTCCCCAACCACCTGATCGGTCGACCTATATTGACCCCTTAATCATAAATAGCTTTATGATGTTTGGAATGCCTTAAAGATCTCAGAATTGACAATTTTTATGCTTTTTGGATTCTTCTAGTTGAGAAGCTCGATTTAAATATAAATATGTCAAATTTGGTATTCATTTGACTATTTTACCATATATCTCCATGATGTTTCTGTACTTTGTGGTATAATTTCGTGAAATTTGGGGTTATTTGATATGAAAACAAAATATTAAATACTCTAAATAAATAATTTCATTTTAAATATCTATATAATTACTGTTGAAATGCACAAAGTTTTAAAATTAAATATGATTTAATTCACATAACCAATTGATTTGAAAATTTTACCACATAATTAAAAGAATGTGGAGAAATATAAAAATATTTTGATAAATAAAATATTTTCTGAAATTTTAAATTAAAATATTAATTAAATAAAAAATGAATAAAAACTTAATGAAAACAACTTCAATTAGATAGAAATTTTGGCAGTCTAAGTTAGGATGCAACTACATGCCCTCCTACAAATTTTCAAAAAATTTAAAACTTAAGAAATATTTTTATAAATTAAACCCACCTAAAAGTTATTTAAATCATGAAAAATACATATTAATTCAAAAAATTCTTCTATGATGTAAGGTTGATTCTTTTGGTGTTATCCAATTTCAAAAAGTGTTTTCATGATGATCAGAGGAGAATTTGGGTTTATTACTAATTTATAAAATTCTTAATCAAAATAAATTAACCCATGGATTAACAGGTAGTCCGAATATTACACGTAAGACATAAAAACTAGATGATCGAACCTAGACTACTTATCCCACTTAAACAAGTTATCACCGAAGTGGGAGGTGAATTTGGGGCGGTCCAGGTACGAGTCAACTCAGGTCTGCCCTCGCCCGTTGGGCCCCGATAACAAGTCAAGTGAAATGTGAATCAATGTTAACAAAAGCATGTATAATACTTTGAGTTCAACTTCAAAGCTAACTTATATCATTCTTGTGAGTTTCCCACATGACTCATAAGACTTTTCGTACATGGGTAGGAGCTCGGTCAACCCCTTTGATTTTTCTTCTAGGGTGTACAGCGATATCCAAACACATTGTTTCTTTGTGCACTTGTATTTGTTATACTTTATTGGTGTTTGCAGTGTAAATTTCATGTTTTTCATAGGCTTATTTTTGTGTTTTATGCCTAGGTAGGCTTAGATTCGTTAGGCTCTTTGGCTAAGAGAAATTTTCTACTTAACTAATATAATATTAAATTAATTTTTCAAAATCAACTCATAACCACAAAATAAAACTTAATAAACTAATTGCTTAATACAAATATTTGCTTTCACAACCCTTGTGTTGCATTAGCATGCCACTTAATTACTAGTAAACTTAAATAAAATTCAAGTAGAAACATAACAAATAGGGAAGCCATCAAACCTTATGCATAAAAGAGCATCATATTATACTTTCTTATCAGTCTCTTCGTGCCTTCACTCATTGCACATAAGTAAGAGATAAGATTTGAGAGAATCACTACACTTTTTTCAAGTGAATCTTACATTCATAGTGATTGACTTTAATGACTTTTCTAACATGCATCATATAAGGATTAGATACCCTTCACAACTCACACTAAGCATGCTAAAGTCTCGTCAATAAAAAAAATATAGTTAATTAAACATTCCTTGATCATCATTTCTGATTGATCAAATTTATTATTTTCAATTGATTTAGTTGAGTTGACTTCATATCAAATCGATAGATAAAATTTGAAGTTTTCAAATCTTAAAAATATTTTGCAATAGTTATGATAATCGAGTTATAAGTCCCAACACAATATTCTAAATAGTAACATCCTATCACTCTTCAGAACCAATGTTGGCATATGCCAATGCAAAATTGACAGTCAGGAGCCCGGTTGCTGAAAAAGAGAGATGCAAAAAGCTATTCAAATCATATATCAAGAATTTGCCCCCATTCATATGTGTTATAAGAGAAAATGTTTTCACCGGTTTTTTTAGTCCTACGCTTTCAAAAGAGAAACCGCGTATAGTCGGTCGAAGCCATGTCTAGGCCTTTGCTGCCGTCTCCTCAGAACTTCTTTGGGGAACCACGACTCCCGCAGCCACCTGGATGGGCAATTCTTCTCCCATAGCAAAAACACTCACCCCTGACGAGTGTTCTGCAAGATGGTATAAGAGAAAATGTTCTCACCAGCTTTTTCTGGTCCTACGTCTTCAAAAGAGAAACTGCTTATAGTCGGTCGAAGCCATCTCTCGGCCTAAGTCGCCACCTCCTTAGAACTTCTTTGGGGAACCACGACTCCCGCAGCCACCTGTACGAGCAATCTTTCTCCCATAGCAAGAACACTCACCCCTGGCGAGTGTTCTGTAAGATGGTTGTTAGGACGACCTCTTACTTGTCCTACAACCCTCATCTGAGGAGGGCCTGAAAGAAAACCAGATGAACTAGGGCGAGTCTCGCGATCTCCGACTTCAGACTTTAACACAACTCTCTTCCTGCTTACCCTTTCCGCATATACCTCACCTATAGTTTATGCTTCACGGCTAACTTACTGGCCTACACCTGCATATCACTCATAGCAGAAGGCAGAGCTCCTTAGCTAATGAGAAAAACACGAGACAAAAGGAGCCAGAATAGATGCAGATGGTGCATACCTCCCTTGCCTTAAAGCCCATATATAATGGCCCGGGCATGAAAATTCAGGGAAATCTATTATTGCGTAATAATATCATTTAATTATTTAATACATGTTAAAAATTTCTCTTATCCACATGTACTAAAAAGCTTCTGAAGAACAAGAAAATCGAGAAACTAAATATGTACACATAAAAATGTGTCAACACAAATCTCAAAGCAGATATGTGGCTAAGGAAGAAGATACAGACGATTAAGTGCAGATGCGGGCAACAATCATTTTCAAATATGTATTGGCGAAGGAAGCACTTTATCCGAACTATCAACAAAGAAGACGCTAAGATAAAACCCTGTATGGTGGTAATCAGCCTTCAAGACGATTGACAGAGAGCACTATTTCGCATTATATATCGACCGAATCGAGGGTTGTCAGGCGATTGATAACTCTCGTCGATCAAATCAGTCACCAATTTTATTATAAGTAAATAGTTTTGTAATTGCCAAAAATTCCTCAAAAAAAGTTAATAATGAGGGGACTAATATGTACGTTTATATTATTGGGATCAATGTCTATAAATAGAGGTCCATATTAGAAATAAAATGACACATTTAATGTCTACTATTACTCTCTCTATCTCCCTCCCTTTTAATCACTTTGTAATAACACATTTCATTCTGTGTGTGTGTTTCCCGATAATTTTTGGATCAAATAAATAAATAAATAAATAAATAAATAAATATATATATATATATATATCACCGTCAACTCAAATTTAAAATATATTTGGAAAATTTGGCTATTACAATAATATCCTGGGTTCGTCATTATATGTAAAAGCCTTAAAAAGGCATTTTCTAATGTATAAAATAATAATTAAAATATATAATTAATTGGAAAAATTTTCTTAAATTGTTCCTGGACTAAAATTAGAAAGGAAAATTCTTGCTGTGCGTTGTTTAGTGCGTATAAAACAGGGGAGGGAATCCGGCGCTTGACAAGAGAGCATAGAGAGCGAAGCGGAGGACGCCCCGTGGACTCTCTTTGGCTCCTCTCCTTCCTCCCAGATCCGAGGCTCTAAACCCTAGGGAACTCCCTGCAATAGCGCCAAAGAGCTTGTTCTAGCTCGATCCTGCTCCAAGTATTCGCCGATCGATCGCCGGAGGTTTCACGTCCGTAAGCTTAATCCCTCCTTCGCAGCTGATCCGTCATCACCCCGGATTCAAAACGCTCGCCGTATCAAGTTCTGAGTTTCTCACTTCTTTCCGAGTTTATCAATTAGGGATGGCCTCCCAGCAGCCGACTACCGCGGGATCAGTGCGCTCTCCTCAAGTGGTATGATTCGCTTTTTGTCTACTTTTTTGCCACTATGTATTGCATCTGAAATTCCAGGATTTTTTTTTACTTTTTTATGATTTGTTTGGGTGATCGGAACAGGTTGGGAATGCATTTGTACAGCAATTCTTCCACATCCTGCATCAGTCGCCGGAGCATGTTCATCGATTCTACCAGGAAAATAGCAGGCTGGGTCGTCCCGGAAGCCAAGGCGAGATGAGCACGACTTCTTCTTTGCAGGTAAGTTATGCTTTTCTTTTTTATTGCTTGGACGGAATGAATGTGGGGAAAGGAGGAATCTGGAAGTCGAGTCGTGCTCTGATGTATAGTTTTGTTGCTACTTATTTCGCTTTGTTGATATGATGAAGGAGATAAACGAGAAGATTCTATCCATGGACTACAGCGAGTTTCGAGCACAGATAAAGACAGTGGATGCGCAGGAATCCCTTAACGGTGGGGTCATCGTCCTTGTCACGGGTTACCTATTTGGGAAGGATAATGTGAAGAGAGACTTCACCCAGACCTTCTTTCTTGCTACCCAGGACTCCGGGTACTATGTTTTAAATGATATATTCCGATATGTGGAAGAAGTGGACCAGCAAGAGGAGCAGCAGCATTTGACGGATGAAACTGAGGTTCCTCTTTCTACAGAGGGTGGTAATGCTTGAAAGCCTCCGTTTATTTCTTGTTTTCATGTTGTCCCTTCTGGAGATTCGTTTAGCATTTTTTTGGTGGCTTTTACATACATAGCATCCAAAACTTTCATATTTACCTATCTCATATTAAAACTTTCATAATTACAAACATTATATTAAAAGGAACGCTCATCATCACCTTAATAGTCAAATCTATCTTTTCATCCATAAATAAATTGCTATGTATGTAAAAATGAAATTTTGAGTGTGAGATAGGCAAATACATAAGAATTGGGTGCTATATGTAATTTTCCCTTTGTTTTTTTATACCGCAGATACCGTTCGGCAGGAGCATCATTCATCCGAGCAAAGTGAAGCAGTACTGGAAGATGATGATGTAAATGAAGAGGAAGTTTATGATCCTTCGGAGCATGATGTAGAGTCTACAGTTGAAGAAGAAGAGCCCGCGGAGGAGGTGATTAATGAAGTTCCTACTGCCTTGCAGCCTGCTGTTGTTGATTCAGGTCCTTCAACTGGCCTGGAGCAGAAGATGTCATATGCTTCAATCGTAAGTGCACGTGTTTGTTGCATTCAATCTGTTTTTTAAAATTTATTTGCTGTTATCTAATAACTTATGATAGCAGGCTTTTAGCATGGATTTAGGTTTTTGAAAAATCAGATTCAGGCCCATCGACCGCACTCAAGGTCACCGTAAAGATACTTAATTTGATTAAGGCATTAGTCTTGGTTGGCTTGAGTTGATCTTGTTTATAAATTGGATAAGATATCAATCCAAGTTTGAACTTGCAATAACAAAAAGTCCTACTTTGGCTGATTTTATATCTCTAAGTTGAATTTCTCTATTCCACGTTCCATACATGCTTCCACTTTGGCATTGATGTATACATTGGCAAATCTATAGATGCATAAATGCCTGCGTACATGCATGCATTCATACCAAATAACATATACATTTTAATTGAATTTTAAGATGGATTGACTCAATCAAAGGTTGGTTCCTTTCAAGCTTGATTTGAATACATTTGGCTTATTAATTGGTTGTCTGACTTTTTATACAGGCCCTAAACCAATCTAGTCTTGCAAGATCTTGATTTGCACTAGTCCAATTGCATGTACGTTAAGTGCAATTTGTTAGGATCTAAAGAACTATAATACATTATAAGAGTTAAAAATTTATTAAACAGCGTGCAATAGTAATTAACTTTTTGTGAAATTGTAATAAATAATTTTAAATACAACAAGAGAAAATAGTTATTTTAACAAACAATGTCATTTCCTAAAGGGAGTTCTTTTATTCAACAAGAAATTATAATTAAACAAAGCTCAAAGAGCTTATTCAACCAAAAGGTATTTTTCCTAATTTTTTAATCCTAAGCTTAAATTATTACTACTATATGCTAAGTAGTTATTGCCTAACGGCCAGTTCAAATATTTTTTCTCATTATTATTTGAGGCAATTAATTATAAGGGCTTCTCTACGAGAAGCCTACAACTAGATCAGAAAGTCCTTCCATATTGAGGGTGAAATTTCTGGGTAGCATCTTTCTTAAAACCTACTCCATTTTCTAAAAAAATTGCTGGACCATAAAACTTTCTCAGGGGACTCTGGCATGAATTTTTGGAGCCCATAGAGGAGCTTATAAATAGATGTTTTGAGACATATTAGTCATCAACACTAAATAAATTTTCTCATTTTAGTTTTCAATCTGGTTTGCAAATTGTTTTGTTATTTCTTTTGAGTGTAAGCCAAATTAGACTACCCAATATGGGGGTAAAATCATTAATTCTTTGTATTGATATGAGGCTTGAATTTCCTATTTTGGTACATTTTTTCATGACCCAGTTTCTTTTAACATATTTTATTACTGGCTTGCGAATGCTCCAAATTTTGTTCAGATTTGACTCAATTGAGAATCTATTTGTGGCAATTAATTACATTTACTTGCTGTTTCTCGTGGTTCAAATTTTCAATTTTTTTTCAAATTTATGCGATCATTATATTATTATTTTGGCATTAATTCTCTTATTATTTATTTGCATTTGAATAAAAAAAAATTGTTGGACCATTTAATAGCTCGTAATCCACAGATCCTATGTTCTTTTTTGTGATTTAAACAAAAGCAACATTCTCATTATACTATATAACCCAAATCCAAAATCTTCTTGCGCCAGAAATTTTAAAAAAAAATGGAATAAACATATAATGCTTAAACTTCGTTGATCACTATTGGAAATCGCAATATTAAGGAGATGATATCATTATCTTTGTCATTGAGCGCAAGAAATTTGCTCTGATAGCAAACAATGTAGGCTTATATTCACGAGTAGTTAGATTATTGCAACAGTCGGAGGTGGAGTGGCTGATGGGTTGCTCTTATATGGAGATGGAAACAACAATGAAGGAAGCATAAAATCTAAATATCATTCATTAACTAGCTGTAAATTGTAATAAGCTCAAGGAGTCACTAGATTAGAAGTTCCACTTAGGTACCATTACTAAAATGCCTTTTATAAACAGTAAATTGACAAAGCTAGGGTAAATTAATTTTAAATCTGGATAATAAAGCAAATTTTATCTCGAGTCCTACCTAACTTAACTCATTAAGTAACTTTCAAAAATAAACCAGCAAACCAATGGAATTTTCTTTGGATGATATGGTGCATGGTAACTGAAAGACACTTTATGTGAGTGTCGTATTGTCTCTTCATACTCTTTTAGGAAATTGATAGCATGCTTGATACGGGTGTTAACCCAAATCATAATAGGAAAACTAATTATTATTATTGAAAGCAAATAAGTGGTTACCACCAACACACTTGAAAGAGAAAACAATAACAAACACAAAATGCGACAGTCTGAAATAGGAAATAACAAGAACACGATTTGTGACACATGGATAGGGTGAATCTCAGGGTGGTTGTGGTGATCGGTGAGGGTTAGGAAGGTGGTGGGATGTGGATGGGTTGGTTGGCAAGCATAGAACATCAAGAAAAAGGTTTCCCGGGTTTTGGACAACAAATACCCAACAGATTTTTGACGTGCCACGGCTGTCCGAGATGATGACAACAAAGGTGGAGGGCTTGAACAACAGTGGCAGCGAAGATAGAGCCTGGGACAATGATGACAACAGGTATGGAGGAGTGTAATGGCGGCGACAACAACTGGGAAGGGTTGAAACAACAATGGCAGCGAGATTGTGTAGCACCGACACTTTTAAAAATGTATTGTACCAGTGTTGGACACGTATTGTACACGGACACTTGTCTAACACACCTCGACACTTCTTCGATACTTATCCAACACTACAAAATATATATTTGAATTTTTTTCAGGCCTGAGCACGTCAAGAAAAAGGCTTCCCGGGTTTTGGACAACAAATACCCAACATATTTTTGACGTGCCATTGCTGTCCGAGATGATGACAGCAAAGGTGGAGGGCTTGAACAACAGTGGCAGCGGAGATAGAGGTTGGAACAATGATGGCAACAGGCATGGAGGGCTGGAATTGCGGCAACAACGACTGGGAAGGGCTGGAACAACAATGACAGCGAGGTTGTGTAGCACCGACACTTTTAAAAATGTATTGTACCAGTGTTGGACACGTATCATACACGCACACTTGTCTGACACACCCCGACACTTCTCCGATACCTATCCAACACTACAAAATATATATTTGAATTTTTTTTAGGCCTGAGCACTTCCGGGACACACCTCAACACTGCATCGGACGCGAGCTTAACAATATTTTGAGAAAATGGGACACAGGAATTATAAAATTATAAATATACATATAACCTTAATTATATCTCATAGTAGAAACCGTCTCATCTCTCATCATGTTGAAGCTCCCTCTGAAATTCGTTAAAATCGAGCATTGAATGGACATCCAATATTTGTCGAAGCTGAGTTGTAGTAATTCCCTTTTTGTAATCATAGTATTTTTTTAATTTTAGTAGATAAGTTGGATGAATTCTTTTGAAACATATTATATTTAATTTTAAAAATTAATTTTCATTAGCACGAGATTTTATAATATAAATTAAATTTATGAAGTTAAATTTTATTCTTGCATAATTTATGTTGTGTTATTTTTAATTAAATATAAAAACGTGTCTATGACGTGTTGTGTCCAATTTTTTTTATATATATTGTGTCTCCGTGCCGTGTCTTGTTATGTCCTCGTGTTCGTGTTCTTGCTTCATAGCAACGAGGATGGAGGGCGGGAACGACAATAAGGAATGTGGTGGATTGCCGAATTGCCAAAGGAGGGTTGTCATGGGTGTGGGCAGCGAGGAGAATGGCTAGACAACGAGTAAACTGCAAGAAAAATAGCAAAATGCTGTTATTGAGGCGGCCCACAATGAGGAGGGGTGCGGGGTAGAGAAGCGGGAGGGATGCTTTGGAATTGTGGAAAGATAAACACCAGCTGGAGACCAGGATAAAGCCGAAGCACCATCCGTAATCTTAGGATACAATCCTTGAAAGGAAGAAGAGACTCTGACAGTTGTTCCGATATAATACACATGAAAAAACTAATCCTAGACTCATATGAAAACAAATATATATTAAGATACACGAGAACTGGCTAACTCCTTGGAAATGAAAGAACTTGAACCAGTTCGGTCCAGCTAGAGCAGCTGGTCGCTGCTTACACGGGACTTCTCGCGTTCGGGATGCGATCCAGCTTCATGCCGATGACAGTGCTGAAGCGTTTCCGCATCAATGCCCTCCATGTTAAGTATGATGCTTCTTTCTGGATTTTCGTGCAATTGCTCACGTGTTTTATATAATTTATTTTCTCTGTAGCTAGCAAGTCATTGAAAAGTAAAATCATCATACTTTAATGTTATTTTGATTGAACTGTATTCTGGTTTAGGAGAATTGTATAATCTTAAAGATTTTAATGAATATAGGTGAGAGTAATGAAAGAAAATGCTACAACTGCATTTATTGCTACATCTGCTCCGATCAGGGCAGTGCCTACTGATACAGATCGACAATCTCCTGCTGCTCCGACACAAGCATCAGCGCCAGCGCCAGCACCAGCACCCGCACCAACAGCAGAAGTTTTTGTCCCAGGCTCTTATGTTGCAGAAAGTAACATTGTCCATGAGTCAGAAGGTCTGGTCTGTTTAATAATAGGCATTTGTACTCTTTTGGTTAACTTGGTAATTACATTGACCTTTCTTTTCAGCTGACGGTTATTCTATATACATCAAAAACTTGCCTTTGAATGCTACAATCGCTCAGCTTGAAGAGGCGTTCCAAAAATTTGGTCCAGTTAAGCCTAATGGCGTACAAGTTAGAAGTAACAAGGTTCTCCTCCAGCGTAATTAGTTTATTGTTAATTTTTCTGCCAATTTTGTTTTTAATACCTAGATTTTTTTTGTGCTTGTGTGCAGCTACAGGGATTTTGCTTTGGTTTTGTGGAGTTTGAGGTGGCTAATGCTGTTCAGAGTGCAATAGAGGCAAGTTGTAAATGCTACTTAGTGCTTTATTTTCACGTCTTATTCATAGATATTTTACTGTAGCAGTCCGCTTTGTGATTCATTATCGTACTAGATTTTTCATGAAGTTTACTTTTATTTATTTGTTTTTTTGTGAAAAATGGGGTGGGAATTTATCTTGTTAAAATTAATAGCTCGGGATATTAGCTATGAAATTTGAGAAGGGTAACAAAACAAGAACATTAAGTCAACAAGCCAAAAGTAGGAAAACTAGTCGTTAAATAATAAAGAAATTAGGGCTACCGTGAAGACTAAAAACTCTTCAACTTTTGCTATCATTAAGAGCTTTTTGTATGGTATCAAACCAATTAGCATTATTACCCTCCACTTTATGATGAATTGTCCAATTATTGCTTTCACTTTAAATATTCCAGATGGCAGAACATGAGATATCTCCAATCTTCCAGGTAGCACAAATTTATCTCTCCAAATATCAGACAATTTTAATTCAATACCCATGAAATTATTAATCTGATTAAGTTGACTAGTTTTCTCCGATTGTTGGAAATCCACAATCAAAGAAAGAATAAGAAGCGGTCCCTGATGCATGCTAAAAGTAATAGTTGAAAAGGACATTAAAATTCTTAAGATGGACCTTTAGGGCTGTAAACGAGCTGAGCTGGAGTGAGCTCAATCTTGGCTTGTGTTCGGCTCATTCCAACTTGGATGATGTTCGAAATTGCTCATGAACAGCGTGTTCACGCTCAAGTCGAAATTGACTCTTTTAGATTATTAAAAAAAATATATGTAGGGGGTTGGATTAGAATATGCATTAATTTTGTACTATTGAAGGCACAAAATCACATGATCACATGAGTTATGATTTAAATTTAGATATAAATATATGTAATATATTATTATATAAATAATATATATATAATGTATTATTATATAAATAATATTATTAATTTATTTATTTCGAGCTGAAACGATTCAAATACGATTGAAAAAAGGGTTGCTCGTGTCAACAATTCGAGCTTTAAAAAATTTGTTTGTGTTTAACTTGTTTACTTAATGAACGATTAAAACACGAGCTGTTTGCGAACAACGAGCTTTTTTGAAAGCCTTACTTGCAAAGGACAATGTCCAAAATGAAGACGTCCATGTTTTATTCTTTCAGATCCAACTACAATAATAACTAATAAGTAGTACTGCCGTTGACAACAAATATTTTAGGGAATTAATAGAATATCCTCTAGGTGATCGATCAATCTTAATGGGGATTTTCCTTAAAATTATTTGCACCAATATTGACGAGAAAAGAATAGTGGTGAGCCACATTGTTTTGGAAGAAAGTAGGGATATTTATTTTCCACTGAAATCACCAACCAAGTAGGGACATATTGAGAGTTGATACTTCTGTCAACATTCCAAGTTGAAAGAGAACACAAAATTTAACTGCTTAAGGAGCAATGCAGGAGCCATTTATCTTTTCAAAATCTATTGTAAGGACCATTGTTCACTTCTCTATTCTGAAAAACTATTAGAGAAATCTTCTTGACATTTCTATTAAGAAATGAACGAGTGAATGATGTTATGCAGCAAATTTTTAGGGATTTTTTCTTAAACTGTCATGACTGATAGTAGCAACAAGTGAGTAATTATATGCATGAATATGCTTTCAAATACATTTGCATAGTAGATAAATGTTGAAAGTTCTAACATTAACAACACCAAAACCTTCAAACTTATTGGACCTGCTGATAAATTTCTAACTAAGCAAACTTATATCCTTAACATTTTACACACCCTTTCAAAAGAAGTTTGTTCTAATAACATTAATTTTGTTCATAACTCATATTGGAATCAATGTTAATAGAGCGAGTCTCCTATATTTATAGAAGAATCCACCTTTTTTGGTAGCAGGCTTTGAATTTAATCATTCATTGTTGATTTTAATCTTATTAGAACTCAAAGGAACTCCCAAGATATTTGAATGGAACTGTCCACCTTACAACCCATGACACAAGCAAAAGCTGAGAAGCCCGTTAATGAACTTGCCCAAGTAGATTAAGATAGATTTAAAGAAAATAATCTTTAAAGCAAAAATATTCCTAAAGAGATGAAGAATATTTAAGGTAAATGGGTTGAAATACTGAAACCTCATAGAGAAGTAATGCATCATCAACAAATTAAACAATCGAAATAGGGGTGAAATTCTTACAAAGCATGTCCTTTGCTTCCAAAGAAATTTAATCTTTAGTGGATAATTATTGGGCGGAGATGTGAAATTGATTTGAGGATCCAAAGAAAAACTTAAAATAGAAGCACACAAAATAAGAAAACACAGAGAGCACAAGCTTTAACATGGAAAAAATTGCTAATGAGAAAAACGACGAAGCCCCACCACACCAAGAAATTCACTATGAAGAAAATAAGAAAAATTATACAAACTACACCACACTTGAACTCTTCATACTTTGGAACACTTTAGGATGCTCCTTTTCTCTCTTTTGCAAAAGAGAAATCAAAACCACATCCATTTCATTCGGTGAAACAGAGCTTTTAAGCGAAGATCTGCTCAAATTCGGTTATTAGCGCTGAGGCGCCGCAATAGCATCGCTCCAGCATCTCTGGGGCATTGACTTTTGGGCGCTGCAGTCGTGCTTTTGGATTTCTGAATTTGGAGTGGGCCCTGCGGCACCATCTTCCGAGTGTTGGGGCGCTCTGCAGAATAGCAATAATTAGCTGCAAATGGATCTCATGCCATTTTTAGTAGAAATACTTTGAAAGTGATAAAAGTTGGTTTGGTAATTATTGAGACAACAAGGTAGCCACTATTTATACCGCCACTAACACATTGATAGCCTCAATGCAAATACAAATTTAAATCTATGACATCAAAGGCTTATGTGAGTTAAAAAGGCCAAAAAGATTCTCAATGCGAAGGGTAAATTCCCAAGTTTAAAGTCTATTGATTCCACCTTATGTGAATATTGTAGTTTAGGCAGACAAAGGTGTGCCAGTTTTTCTAAGTTTAGGAGAGAATTTAAGACCAAAATGTTGGCTTTAGTACTCAGGATTTATGAGGGCCATCCCCCATCCCCTGGAAGGATCATTACGTCATTTTCATCATCATTTTCATAGATGATGACACTTTTTGGTATTCATTTATTTTATTAAAATTAAATTTGATGTATTTGCAACATTTGTGAAGTGGGAAATTCTAGTGGAGGATAAAATTGGAAACAAAATTAAGTGCTTATGATTAGACAATGGTGGGGCATATTACTCTATGGAATTTGAGAACGCTAGTGCACTTATGTTATTTCTATGGAGGGAACAACTGTAGAAATTTCATGATGAAATAAACGTTGAGAGGATGATGAAACTCTCATTGAATTTGCTAGTAGTCTGAGAATAAATGCAGGTCTTTCCAAGCCCAATGGACTAATGCAGAATACATAATATCATGTTTAATCAATCGAAGACTACCAACTGCGTTCAAATTTTGGCTTCTAAGAGAAGTGTGGAAATGCCAGTAGGTATGCTTTTCACATTTGATAGTCTTCACTAGCTATTATATATTTATGTTGAGCATATCAGCAGAATTAATCTTCTCATAAAGTCCAAAAATTTTTACTTAACATTGGATATTGTGGAGATGAGTTATAATATAGATTTTGGGATAGTGAAGGTAAATATTTTATTAGAAGTAGAAATAACATCCTCTATGAATTTGTACCATATAAAGAAAGTTTAAGTTTTATTGTAAAAGAAACCTCAACTCTAGAGATTCAACTATAGGAGGGACTTGTCCAAAACAAAGATAGGAAAATCCTATGAAAATTTAATAGCAAGTGAGCCTAATACAAGTGTCCCAAATTAGTAGGTTATAGAAAGATCACAAGTTACATAGCTATTATCTGTTCCTTTTAGATATGTGGGAGTTTGAGTGTTATAATGAAGCCAAACAATTAAATCAAATAAGAGTAAAAAAGTTTTTATAAGATAACACGTTAACACTAATTAAACTACCCAATGACAATAAGTTACAAAATAAATGGATATGTAAAATAAATGAAGTACACACATGAACAAAAAAGTGTAAGTTAAGGCTTGCTATTAAGGTGTTTCAATAAAAAGCAGGAATAAATTTTACATAGATATTTTTTCATGTAGTTAAAGTAACAATTGCTCTAAGTCCTACAACATTATAGAAGTAGAAGATTTACATCTTGAATAAATGGATGCTTGGATGTTTTTCTATATTTTTATTTGAAGGTGTTGGAAAGTGGCCTGTTAGGCGTACAAAAGGAAAGTTTGGCCTTAGGTTAGATGCCCTCGTAACAATACCTCCCCCCCCCCAAAAGACACATTGTCCTCAATGTAGGAAAAAATGAGAGTATTCTACATCCCCCACCGTTGTCTCTATTTCTTGATTCTTTGCTTCCTCGTCCTGCATCATGAGAACTTGTAATCTTCTGTTCTTGCAATGGTTCCTGGAGTAAACTTCTTATCACATCGAAAACATAACCTCTTTGCTCGCTTCTCTCTGATCTCTATCTCTGTAAGGCGCTTGAGTGTTTCTCCCGGTCGTGGTCTATTATTCTTGTCCTATGCAATCTCCCTCTTGACTTCCACTATTTGAACTTTTGGCATTGGCATAGTTGCAGTCATTCTGTACGATGCTCAGTCTGTGTTTCTCTTATTGGCTTTCTTTATATGGTTTATGTCTTCCACCATCAGAGCTAGCTCTATCATTTCCCTCAATCCCTGCCGTCTTAGTAATCGGAGTGCCGCCTGTATGTCGGGCTTCAAGCCTTTCATGAAATTACCCTCGAGTCCTACTTCAGAAATCCCACACAGTCTTCCGGACAATAGTTCAAATCTCTCTCTATATTCCATGATCGTCTCTTCCTGAGTCAATGCCTAGAATTAATCGTGTATGTCTCCTTCCTGAATGGCTCGGAAACGTTCCAACAAACATTCCTTAAATTCATCCCACAAACAAATCGGGTATCTCGCATCCCTCCACTGAAATTAGGTTAAAGCTTTCCCCTCCAAACACTATCATGTTGTCATGAGTTTCTCCTCTACATCTTATCCATTCACCGTGAAGTATCACTCTGCCCGGTACAACCACTTATGTTTGTCTCCCCCCTCAAAGATCGACATCTTAAACTTCCTAACTCTAACTTCACTACCCTATCTTCCTCTTTCTCTGTTGTTTCCCTCCATGTATCGAGGGCACAACTCCTTCCTTCGACCGTAGCCATATTCTCTCCCTGCTTCTCTTCCTTCTTCTTCGTGCTTCTCTAAACCTCTAACATTAATCCCTTCTCCATGTTTCAGCTCAACTGCCTCCATCAGAAATCTTTAATCCGCCCCTAATTGGAGCCCTAAGTGGATATTCGTGATGATGAATGTTTTTCTCCTCACGTTTCTCACATTTATCTCTCTTTTCCTTTCGATCTTGCCACGGATTCTCCAGTCAGCCTTTGGTTAGGGTTTGTAAATTGAACTGTTGACGGTTTCTTGGATTGCACTCGAATTTCCCCCATGCTTTCAAATCGATCCTCCAGTCAATTCTCCATAGAAGAGAACCTCTGCTCTATGGCGGCGAATCTTTCTTACATCATAGATTTAATTTGACTCGTCTCTTCCTCCATTTTTTTCTCCAGATCATCTACTTTTTTTGATGCCATCACTTAAAAAAAATCTCCTATCTCAATGATAAAAAAATTTATACCCTGAAATACTGTCGTTGATTTTTAAACAATCCTGCATTGATATGATTTTGATTTGAGGCCCGCTCCCGACACCAAGTTTGGAATAGAAAAATAAATATGGGAGTTATGCATCTCTGTGAGTCGTGATCCCCACGTGGCTTCTCAGCTAGCTGTAATCGCGCTTGGATATCAAGGTCGAAGGTTAAGGAGATCCAGTTGGCAGCTTCCTGCTAGTCCTTCACAATCACACACCGCGATTGTTCAGCTTCCTCGCGCGCTCAAGTCGTGACAGTTTCGCGAGGTCATGTCGCTGGTTCCCATGTAGCTCGTTCGCGACGCGACAGTATCGCACGCCCTGCGTCCTTAGCATGTCGCGACTCTTATGTTGGCATCCTTGTACCATGCAACGATCCCCGGTTCCTTGCTCGCTGTGCCAGAAATGGGAAATTCGAATGTTTGTTCGTCGCGGTCTTTCCTGTCGTCTCTTTCCCAGCAAGATCTATTGATCTGATACCAATTTGATATGATTTTTCATCACAATCGACCCACTTTTTTACATGAATTAGGGCAAACACAAATATTTTCTTTAATAATTCAAACAACTCACATAAATACAAAAGATAAGCACCTACAATTCGAGAGGTAAATCTCTCCCAACTCCTATAATTTATGAGGCAGGAAATATCTCCCAAACCCTAGACGTAAGACTCACAACTCATTCTCATGCACTAGGTATAACAAGTATATTTATATCCAACAATAATAATAATAATAGTAATAATAAAAGACTAAATTCTCCTTAGGCGTACAAAAGATAAATTTGCCCTTAGGCTAGGTGCCCTTCTAACAAAACCATACCACATAAATTGGAACGAGGATAATAATATCAGTCCATGAATGGATTAAACTAATTCCTATATCGCTTTATGCTAAAATAATAATCAAAATAACTGAGAATCGGTTTAACATAAAAACTGGTTACTTTATTGTGGGATACGGAATAAACTAATTCATAGTAGCTAAATAATTACGAAATTGTAGATTCCTCATCTTTACCTTCCGCACATTATGTAAATTTCAGTTTGTTTTATGAAATTTTATAATACACTATTGCTAGTTTATGCAGGTACATAATTCCTTCTTGTTAATTTCCCCCCCACTAATTTAGCATCTAGTTTTTAAGGACAACTGCATATAAATATTCTGGCACGCTGTGTTTTACTTTAGCTAGGAATGTTGCTTCCTGGTAGGGAACTTCCTGGTAGGGAAAGCAGATCTAAGATAAAGATAATTTTTGTAGCCTCAGCTAAATTAGCAGCTAGGTTTCTACTTTGTCGTAAGGCTAATTGTGATTGGAGAAGTAACCCTTCAGGTTTCTTTCTTTGTAGACTAGCCTTGTATAGCTGATTGGAAGAGAGAATGATCTGATATATGAACTTGCGCAAATCTAAGATGCCTATTTTTATTCTCGACTTGTATTTCCCTGTATATAGTTGAAGAAAACTGAGAGCTTCAAGTGAAGGAGTTCATTTTTTTTTTTAACTGTTAAAAGTATTTCTAGGAATGTTTTTGTTCTAGCCACTGCTTTAGTGTGCTAATATAGATGCATGGCTGGCTGTCCTAATATTAATTGTTCACTGCACATAAGAAACTTAATTTTTGGTTCTTCAGATGAAATTAAAACCATCAGAATATAACCAACACTCTGGTTGAATAATTTTCAATTTATTCAAGGCTTAAAAATTGATTGATGATTTTCTTTTTTTTTTGTTCACAATTTGATTTTTTGGATTCTAGAATATTTAACTGTATTCTTATCCACGTCTGATTTGTAGGCTTCTATTTATGAATTATTGTGAAATGAGTGTCTGCTCACATTCAGAAATATTTTTTACAGGAAATAAATTCATTTCCAACAACCATAAGTTTTCAATTCTTACTCAGCCTCTTGTTTTTTCAGGCTTCACCTGTATTGATTGGTGGTCGCCAAGCTTATGTTGAGGAAAAAAGAGCTAACGATTCACGAGGTACACATAATTAATGCATGTTGGTTAAAGTAGCTTATTACTTCATCAACAATAATGTTATAAGCATGTCTAAATGCTAAATGTTTATTCCCTTCAATAAGTATTGAATTTGAATTCCCTTCAATAAGTCTAAAAGCCACATTTAAAACTAATGCTTCTTAAATTTCTATTTGATTTATTATAGTACTAGTCCATGCATGTCTATATAAAGACGAGGGAAGAGAACAATAGAAAAGTACAATAAAGAAGAATATTGTTTATATATTTCAGTTCTAAATGTTATAAATTCCTATAAAAAAATATTAAACGCATCTAATGATGTTCTTATGACAACACCTCTAAACATGACAACTCTCTTAACTTTCTAACATTATACATTTTTAACAATGCCTGCATCTTAATCCTTTTAATTTATTTGTTCGCATGGTTCATTTTGTAAATTGTCGTTTTCTAACCGCAGTGAATAACCGAGCAAGATTTGCGCCTGGTAGAGGGGGTGGGTTCCGTGGCGACGGTATGAGGGGTCGTCGGGGTTATGGTGGTGGGAGAGGTTATGGAAGGGGAGACTATAATAACAGGGCTGATTTTGGGAACAGAGGGGGAAGGGGAGGCGGAGCCTCCGGCCGAGGAGGCGATGTAGGATATCAGAGGGTTGATCAAATGGGCTCCAATGCTGCCCGTGGTGGCCGCTCCGGATCATTACCACGCGTCCCTGCGCCCGCATAGAACAACAAAAAAAACTAAAGTGGTGCTATTCTTCATATAAGCTTGGGATTTCTACAACTCTTGGAGCTCCTTGGCAGATATCTTTGCCTTTTTTTCAATTTTATTTATAAGCTTGTCTTTTTGTAGAGTATGAAATGTTTGCTCTGAACTTCATCGCTGCTAAAAATATAGGTTAGAGATGCCGCTTTTAGTCTCATGCTATTGCTATGTTTCCATGAATCGGATGCACAATTTTTGGATCATCTTCTTCATTAGATAATAAATTAATAATCACCGGTGATAAGGGAAAATTTTCCTTTTACCCCAAATATATTTTTCTGTGATTATGCCTTGATGAGTGTTTTTAAATTGTTTGGAAGATTTATGTACATATCACTCAATTCGTCTGCTTGATCTCTGATGATCTTTGATGAATCTAAGCGATATAGAGAATGATTTTGATCAACTGGTCATGATGAAAACATTTCCTACATCTTGGTTTTATTCCTCTTTACTTGGGTAGAGCAATGTAGAAATTCATTTGTAAGGAGGTGCTGAAAATATATTCGACTCCTTCCCTACCTCTTGGTCATTTTCATTCTGCATCAACATCTCCATTACCTCTCAATTAAAATTTTTTTGTACATGTTTTCTTGCACTGAAAAAAAAAAGAAAAAAAAAAAAAGCACATGTTAAAGTCTTCCAAATAGAAAGAAAAAAAAAGCACATGTTAAAGTCTTCCAAATAGAGAAAATGGTTGTTTTTATAGATTTCTTTTTAACATTATATGAATTAACATAAGGGATTAATCCATGTGAAATCACAAGCTAAGTAAAAAAGAAGATAATTTTATTCATTCTCTTATTTCATTTTGGGATACAAAACAATCTGGGAACTAAGGGCCCGTTTGGTGCAGCTTATAAACGCCGTCTCACTGTTTGGAATACACGTTTTGACAGTTTTCCCAAAAACATGATTTGGTTTTTATACTAAACTCATGTTACGGGTTGAATCACACTGGTCACCCGTGGGTTACGTTTAAGGATATGTTGCTTATTTGGATAAGTAGAAGCTGCCCCAAACTCATGTTACGTCCAAATATCTCAAGAGCTCAGTCTAGGCAAAGTTGATCATGTTCAACATGTTATAATAAGAAGGATAAAGAAGATGATATTGTCCAAATAATGATAAAATTGCTAGAATTATGGTGAACTTGTAACCTTGTAGTAACTTACCAATGCATTCTTGGATTGAATTTGTTTTTAAGAAAATGTTAATATAGCCGTGCACAAGATGATATATAGACTGTGCCATGCAACCAATTAATAGCCTTTTAGATAAAAGTGAAGTGGATTTTGACTATATGGAAATTTATGGTGTTTTTGGCTACTCTCAATACTTAGGATTTGAGTTGTATGTATGTAAATATCCCTATAATTAAATGGATTAAGTTGTAAAATTAAAATTAAAGAACAACATTTAAACTGTTGTAAGAAATATTAATAAAAATCCATTGTCTGGTTTTAAAATGTGGAAGTTGCCAACAAGAACACATATTTTTAGAACGTCTGTGCGCATTCGAACTCTCATCAAACTAATGGACCATGACATCATGCATTTTTAGGATACGTGCATTTTTATTTGCTTGGATAAACTGTATTTTGACAAGTTCTTAAAAAAATTATCATTGAAATATATATTTTCCCACCACTCCTGACTATGTGAAGTGATAGCTTTCTAGTTGCAATCTGATTTAATTATTTTTTTTTAATAATCACCTTAATTTTTTGAGCATCAGATTATTATTCCGTGGCCACAGCTGCTCCAAACAAACCAAAAGAATTTTTTTGTTTAATATAACCTATCTAAAATTTGAAATTTGAGATTTTTTTCTATATAAATAATAAAATTAAATATTTTTATACTATGAAGTTTTACATTAAACTTGTTGCAGACTTTTTTTTTAAAAATTTTCAGGCACATATTCTCAATTTTTTCACCTAAAGAATCATACAATTATTTTTGTATAATTTTCATATAAATTTGATTAAAGAAATTACCCTTGTTTTTATTTTTTTGAAAAATTGCAAAATAAAATATTATTGTTAAACAAAAATATATTCACTATACAAAATCAAGGGCCATTTACATACATACCAATACCATACAATTCTTATGTATCTACCAATCGAACACCTAAACATTCATATTTACATACATACCACTTAAAATTCTAACATAACGGCACCAAATATTATAATTGCAAGGTGTTAGATATTTAAATACATAAAAATTATGTGGCATATATACGAAAATTTTTTATAAATAAAATTTTTATAAAATTAATGTCCCATCTGTACCATCATCCGGACGTCCCCTATAACTCTAAACACAGAAGTGTAGCAAATGAACTCATACTCAACTCAGACTCCATAACACATCTCACCACACCTTCCCATTGAACACCACCTACATAAAACTCCAACAACATATAACAGTGACTCAAAAAGCCTATGGATCAAACAAATTACAACAACAATCACTACATCTCTGTCATCTCCTTCTACCTTCTCGCCGGTGACGGCATAACGACGATATGCCGGAGCGGCTCCGAAGTATGGCTATTTCCGGCATGTCGCAGAAACTCCGCTGGCGAGAAGCTCAGGCCATGGCAAACACACATTATCCTCAGCTCATCAACCTTTGTGTATCTGTATAAGAAACCTCCGGTAGTCTTTCCTTGAAGTCCGTCTCCTTTGGCTGTGACGTATGGTATTATTGGTTTCATTGTTTTCTTCCCGTTATTTGAAGATGACTCATGGAGGTCTGGGGTCTTGGATTTGTCGCCGGTGATGCTGCTGCTGCTTTCTGGAGCATTTGCTGTGTCATTTCGGAATTAGGGTTATCATAATGCATATCGGGAAAGTTCGTGTTCGGCTCGTTCGTTAAGTTAATGAGCCTAATAAAAACAAAGATTTGTTCATTCATATTCAACTAATTTAGACTCGAAATACTACTCATTATATATATTTTGATGAGTAATATTTTAAAAAAAGTTAAATGACACAAAACTACAAAGATTTGTAATCAATTAAAAGTATTAATTAAAAAAGTAGAATAAAAAGTATTAAATTAAATTTAAATGATGTTTTAATATAAATAATAATTTTTAAATCTTACATGAACCCTTAAAATCAGATTGGAGTTGTCAAAACGAACTCTTTGTTCGTGAACAACTCGTGTTCGGCTCATTAAGCA